AGGGATGTTGGGGGGGGGAGCTACAACAATTTGGGGGGGGTAAAGTGGGAACTTCAAGCATAAACTGCAGCTTTTTGGGGTTTTTACACCCAAACTGCAGCTTTTGGGGTTGTTTCACCCAAACTGCAGCTTTTTGGGGTTGTTTCACCCAAATCCCAGCATTTTGGGGTGTTGGGATGTGGGGTTTTCAGTACAACCCACTGAGTTTTGGGGCTCTGCACCCAAATCCCAGCAATTTGGGTGGTTAAAATGGAAACTTCAAGCACGAGCTGCAGCTTTTTGGGGTTCTTACACCCAAATCACAGCATTTTGGGGTTGTTACACCCAAACTGCAGCATTTTGGGGTGTTGGGATGTGGGGTTTTCAGTACAACCCACTGAGTTTTGGGGCTCTGAACCCAAATCCCAGCAATTTGGGGGTGTTAAAGTGGGAACTTCAAGCACAAGCTGCAGCTTTTTGGGGTTGTTCCAGCCAAATCACAGCATTTTGGGGTGATGAAATATGGGGTTTTCAGAACAACCCACTGAGTTGTGGGGTATTACACCCATACTACAGGACTTTAGGGTGTTGGAATGTGGGGTTTTCAGTACAACCCACTGAGTTTTGTGGCTCTGCACCCAAATCCCAGCAATTTGAGGTGTTAAAATGGGAACTTCAAGCACAAACCTGTGGTTGTTACACCCAAATCGCAGCATTTCGGGGCGCTACACCCAAATTTCTCGTTATTTTTGGGGTGAATCCAACCCCCATCAGGAGGAGGAGGAAGAGGAAGAGGAGGAAGAGGAGGGGGTCGTTCTCTCACCATGAAGATGAAGATGCTGAGGCAGCACCAACCCAGCACAGCGTGGTACCCCGTGCTCCCAAACATCAGCCCAGCCAGCAGCGCCGCGATCATCCTGACGGAGCAACGAGGGGCTCAGTTGCCCCCTTTGCCCCCCCCCCACAATAAAATAGGGTGATGGGACGAAAGAGGGGGGTCCTATAGGGCTCACCCCACATATTTGTATCCGGCGAAGGCCAACAGGTCGGGGGTTGTCAGGTCGGTGGGCAGTGAGAACAGGTAGAGGCTGAGCAGCACCGCCAGCACCTCCAGCAGCAGCCAGGCCAGAGCTGAGCTCGCCTGCAGCCCCAGGCTGTCAGGGGAGAATCTGGGGGGGGGGGAAATGGGGGGGCAGCTGTAGGACCCCCCCATAAGGACAGAGATCCCCCACAAGGACCCCTATGGGGATTCAGAGGGGTTTTGGGGATTTCTATGGGGTCTTGGTGGGGTTTGGGGACCCCCAGCAGCAGCCAGGCCAGAGCTGAACTCGCCTGCAGCCCCACGCTGTCAAGGGAGAATTTGGGGGGGAAATGGGGGGGGGGCAGCTGTAGGACCCCCCCACAAGGACAGAGAACCCCCCGCAAGGACCCCTATGGGGATTCAGAGGGATTTGGGGGATTTCTATGGGGTCTTGGTGGGGTTTGGGGACCCCCAGCAGCAGCCAGGACAGAGCCAAGCTCGCCTGCAGCCCCAGGATGTCAAGGGAGAATTTGGGGGGGAAATGGGGGGGGGCAGCTGTAGGACCCCCCCCACAAGGACAGAGATCCCCCCCACATGGACCCCTATGGGGATTCAGAGGGATTTGGGGATTTCTATGGGGTCTTGGTGGGGTTTGGGGACCCCCAGCAGCAGTCAGGCCAGAGCTGAGCTCACCTGCAGCCCCAGGATGTCAAGAATTTGGGGGAAGAAATGGGGGGGCAGCTGTAGGACCCCCCC